ACATAATCATATATAACAGCTGAAGCCTCTTCTTTAACAGGATTATTGCACAGGTTATTGCACAGGGTATTAAACAGTAATAGCACATTAATAATTTATTGCAGTTATAGTGCCGCATTGTCTGATGGCAGCAGGGATGAATAACCTACAGTAGCGCTTCTTTTTACAAACAGGATTTAATAGTCTGCTCAGCTCCTCTACAGTCTGGTGCAGGGGGTGAGAGGTGTTGTGCATGATGGATTGAAGCTTGGAGAACACCTTCCTCTCAGTGAGGTAGTTGATGGTCCAGGCAGCAAGATGTTTGTCTACTCCATAACATAGAGTAATTATAATAGGAAACTGTAGGTTCAGCTTTAAACAGGACATTGAATAAAAGCTAAAAGAAGATCAAAGAGTATTCATGAGTTAGAATGGCCTAACCAAATTCCAGACCTACAACAAAATGGTGGTAAGACAAAACAAAATTGGCAAAAAAATACATCTGTAGTTGTGCATTTCTAGTGAAGTGCAAAGCTTTACAAAGGGCAACTAATATAAAACTTAAAAAAAAAAAAAACATCATTTTTTTTCCATTTCAGAAATGACGCATCATTTGTTGTTGGCACATACAATCCAAATGAATACATTGAGGATGGTAGTTATAAAATGATACAATTGGGAAGGGTTTTTATACTTTAACAAGACAATGTGTGTCACCTTTACTTTCAATCCTCGCTCAAAAACACCCGGTGACAACAATTTCCCTGCTCAAATTATTTTCCTATGCCGCTATAACTTAAATTCATAAAGTTCGAATACACAAAGTCACATAAAATATCCTGGGGAAATAATGAATCTGTAGAAAATAAAATGGATATTAGATATGATGGGAAAAGTCTGTCAGCATGAGATGAAAAAGTGCCATTTCTGATGGATGTTGCTGTAAAAAAACATATTATGGTGAAAGAAATCATAAAAACATGCAGTTTTTTTTAAAATGAGAACAATAAACAAGAACCTGCCACAGCAAAGCGTTTTAGATGAAATATAGCACAGTAACTGACCTGCACCTGTGGGAGGCTAAGGTATTACACTGAAATACTTAATAGACTGTATGTTGCTAAAGAGGTTAACCTTGCATTTTAAAGAGTATTTAGTCATTTAAAAGCTTAAGCAAGGAAAAGAAGATTTTTAATTGCTCTAAGTTTAGTTCAGCTTAAATTATAGTCCAGATTTGTAATGGATGTCAAAATCTGACTGAAATATGTTCATTGCTGTTATTTGTTTTTCTTATCTTAAGTGAAACCTTGAATTGAACTCCTTTTAGTATTAGGCTAAGCAGATTTGTGTTTTCTTTTAATTTTCTTGTGATGTGTGCAAAAGGCATTGCTGTCACCAATCTGCTCGGAGAGAAGGAGCCGTCGACAAGTTGCAGCGGGGCCATCAAGTCCAATGACTGAACACAAATTTTCAAGGGAACATGTTTGCACACATCTGCTCCTGTGAGACTGAGGGAAACGGACAAAAAAAATAATAATTCTAACTAGATAATTAAATAAATAATTCTTTGTTCCCATAGAAACAAAGAAAAGTTACCCCTCTCCCAAATCTTCCCTAAGAGGTGTGTTACTGTTTGCTTCTGTTCAGTGAGTGTTAGACCATGTGGACCGCTGATAAAGCGTCTCTCTCTGGAACACTGAGAGGACCCCCTACTGACGCTGCCAGCTCTTCCTGCATTCAGGAGAACAGACGCCAGTTGTTCTGCTCCTCTTTTATCTGCCTATGTTGTATAAGGAGACCACCAGCGTGTCAGACCAGACTTATTTAATGTCCACCCTGAGTCATCCACTGTTCTTTTCACTGAGTCAAAGCAGAGCTGGGGAGAATTTCCCCCCTGAGGTGGTCAGACAGGAAATGCAGTCACCTACAGCCTTTATGATAATGTGTCTCCACTCATGGAAGCACATGTTAGAGCTGTTCATATGCCATTCGAAGCAAATGGAAATCCACAGCAGCTGGATATATAATTGGTCTGATATTACTAATACCCAGGTAGCAGGATTGTGTTTAGGTGTTTGTACACATATGTGTGCGTGAGTGTGGCTCTCCCAACGGGAGGCTGCTGGACTGGGGAGGCAGAAAGAGCAGTAATTATGGCCTCCCATGTTCAGCAGAAACATCAGAGGGAAGTAATTTGTTGCTCTATATTTAATCAGTGGAGATAACGAGACCGACTGCGGCTGTCTGGGCCGATGGGCAGGCGGACGAACAGGAACGCCATTTCCTCCCAAAGCCATTAGTCTTTAATGTAGCCAGCTGCATTGTCATAGTTTCATACTTTTCTGTTCAAATAATCATTATCTCCTTTTCCATCTCCAATTTGGTCAAGTGTACGCTTTCTTTTCCTCACCTTTGTTCTTTTACTGTTTACCTCCCAGCCCCCCCTTCTCCTGCTCCTGTTTTTTCTTACAATAAAAGAGGTGTCTCCATCCATCAGCAACCTGAAGCATTTCCTTATCTACTCCTCTCCTCGTTATGCTCAGCTCTGTCTTACTGACTGCCCATCTCTCCATACTTCTCTCAGGGTGCAGGTAGAGTTCTATGTGAACGAGAACACTTTCAAGGAGCGCCTCAAGCTCTTCTTCATCAAAAACCAAAGATCCAGTAAGTCCTCAAGTCTCGGAGTTCATCTTCAGCCGCCTGGAAACTGAATGCAAATTTGTCTGTTTGCTGCTTGTGTTTTCATCCGATTTCACTCCATCGTTTGGTTAAAAATCTTTCATTTCATTTGAGTGTGCCAGGCTCTGTAACTCTTGCTCTGTATTTCGTCATCTGTTTCCTCAAGTTGTCCTCTCTTTGAAACCAACTTATCTGTCTGTGTAGTTGTTAAGATTAAACGTGTTTCACTCAGATTCTTTTTACCTTTTTATTGTTAGAGATTAGGAGTCCACAATTATTGGTACCCCTGGTAAAAGTTAGAAGCTTTAAACTAGATTAATCTTTTCGTGCAGCTGCATATTTCTAAAAAAGAAAAGCATAACTTCTTGTTTTTAAGCATATATTCTTTGTATAGTACATTTTACTTCCTCCTTTTACCAATTGGACCATCTCCTGCCATAACAAAGAGTTAAAGTATTTATACCATAGGAGTCCCCATTGGTCAGGAAGGGCATCTGGTATAGTAATGTTGGCAATTCTAAGTGCAAATTGTAAGTACTTGCCGCATTGACCCCAAATATAAAAGCAGGTGAAAAGGACAAAACCACAGATATTTATCTGCCATCCTGTAGATATTTTAGAGTTCTGCATCTTCTCGTTTGCTCGCAGCTAATCTCAAAAGTTTTCTATAAGATTTAGGTTCAAGGACTGAGATAAACATCCATACATTTTGTTTGGATCGCTAATCTTCTGGAAAACAAAGTTTTTTTCCTGGTAGGAGCCTCTTCCTCAAACCTTGTGGGAGAAATCGGCCCACAGCATCACAGATCCTCCACCATACTTAACAGTACTGTAGATGTGAAGAGCTTTTTAAAAATATATATATATTTACCCTTGACATTAAAATGAACCCACTTGAATTTTCAGTCCCAGAAAACCCTCAATCAAAGCTACATCCAACCACAGCTCATGTTTTCAGTTCAAATCTAAACAGCAACACTAGGAGAGAAAGTTTTTTTTCCTGACCTGCCTTCCAAACATTTACTAAGATGAATTCAATGACTTTCATGAAATAACAGTAGTTTGATGTGTTGCTAAAGTAAATAACCCCAAATTATTCCTAATTTGCATAATTTCATCTAAGCATATTAAAGTGTTAATATGCTGTCTGAAATTTTTTTTAAGGCTTTTCCACCTATTTACCAAGAGTGCCAGTATGTGTAGAAGTATTGTAAATAATAGCCTACATTTTTTTTGTTTTGTGTTCAGTTTAATTGCCTTGTCTGTGTGTTTATTTGTTTTGTAATCATTTTAAATGCTTATTGGTTGTTTCATTTTGATTGCACTGCAGGTCTTCGAGTGCGAATGTTTAATTTTGCTCTAAAAGTGCTGAGCTGCCTCCTCTACATCGTCAGAGTCCTGCTTGACAACCCGCAAGAGGACAGACAGGACTGGTGAGAGAAATGGCGATAACATTGGGATTAATGAGGGGAAACACTGTGACTTTTAAAGGCCTGATAACAGTCAGCAGAGCAAGGGTCAATAAATGAGATGACAGTGCGCTGAAAGGATTTCTGGTGAGGTTTTAACTGGAGAAAAAAAGGAACATGAAGGAATATCAGCTTCAAGTTTTTGGCTAATCCAGTTTTTAGTTGGTGTGGAAAAAAAAGAAAGATATTTGATTGTTTTTCTTTTTCTCTTGGTTGTTTTACCCCCTGCAGTGGTAACGGAGTTAACTGCACCAAACAAAACACATCATCCCGTCCCTGGAGTGAGTTTGACTGGTAAGCATACAAACTGCTGCATCTCTAATGAGGAGTGATGGCCTCTGCCTGAAGACAATGACAATGAAAGCACACATCCAGGAGGACCGACATCAATGACCCGCAGCACACCGGACGGAAATGTCGTATAACGCCATCAATGCAGCTTCACTTAACTGGTGCAATCTGCTGTATTGATATTAAGCAGCGCCGGAGTTCATTCATTTATCACAATCTAGCTGTATTGAATACCTGTCAACATAATAGGTACGTAGTGCCTGTGCAGCATAATCAACAGCGATCTAGTGGAGATAAAGTATGTAATATACTAGAACAGAGACAGAGAAGTACCAGAAAGCAGGCAGGGACCTGAGGGTGTGTCATGTCTCCTGTTCAAGGGACCTATTGATCTAATCGACGACTAATGACACAGCCTAAGCTCTGAATTTACATGAATAAGGAGCTGCCTCCTTTTGCAGGCAGCAGACTCATGGCATCGCATCCATGGAAAACAGCAACAATAATCTCCAGGGTGCCTTCGAGGAAAAAAAAAAGAAAGCCCCTTTCTGTCATAATAAGAATACAAATTTGACTGTGCAAAAATTACTTTGTTCCCACAATATGAGCCCTCTGTGTTTCCACTGTAAACACCATAATTAACGCAGCTACTGGGTTGTGTTCGTGGGCACAGTTAAGTGTGGTAGAGTTAGGAAAAAGAGAGGTGCTTGTATTTTTCTTTTGAATCTTTTCTATCAAAAAGTTGTCCTTTCTTTGATGTATCTTCAGCATTTAATCATCTTTTTACCTCTTTCCTCTCTGCAGGAAACTCATCATCTGGGTTGACAGACCTCTACCGCTCTGGGCACTACAGGTCAGATATATATTAGCACATTGTAGTGTTGAACAATTTTCCAGCTACTGTCTCTTACACATACTTCCATATCATAAACACGTTAGTCAGCCACAATATTAAAACCTTTACTTGTCGGTGGGTTCAATGCACAATTCGCAGGTCTGGTTTCCAAATTGCCGTAATTGAATTTATAAATCTGCCACATCCAATGAAAAAGTTAAAGAAACTCATCAAGTCTCATAATATTTCAATAGCGACATCATTGAGTTTCCATGTGATTAAACTGAGCCATGTAATTGGAAACGTCTCTTCTACTTCCAAAAATTCAAAAAGGGTCAAAATGTAATAAAAAAATTATATTTGTAGTAATGAAGAAATGATAAGAAATTACTTGGAAATTCATTAAGGTTTTTATACATCTCATGATTACTTTTGCTGTGGCTGTTTATCCACTTCATTTGAGTCGTACCAAACAAACAGATTGTTTTTTTCCCCTTCAGTTTAATCTTTCTGAATATATCGTTAAAAATCACCAGTGAGACTTAAATCGCTCTTTCATTGCATCCACCATTTTACCATAAATGGTCTTTAGTGCCTTAATTTACCACGATTAACAAGGAAAACTCAATTAAAATTCGGGCCTAATTAGCTGAGAATTTTTTGGGTCGAAACTGCGTCTCTAAAGCCGCTTATTTTACCCATTCAGTGGGCTGTATTATTTTTCTCTGAGAAAACTCTTGAGACTCATTGTGACAGCAAGACATGCTGATCGTGTTTGTTTAGATGGAGGATCGTGTCGGGGTACCTAAAGCTAAACATAACCAATGTCATTTGCTTCACCAATCAGGTGTTTTTCAGGATTGGGCTGGTTCATTTAAATCTGCGTGCACGCATTATTTATTTATTTATTTGTTTGCATTTATGTGCAGAATAATTTACGGTATGTCACGTCATCTTAGGGATTTGACACTGTAGTTAAAATGTGTTTACACTTGCAGTGTGGCCGCACACACATACATGTAAATATAAATAAATGATCAGACCCAAGAATGTCTGTTGGTTCATTTAAACCTATTCCCTCTGAAGCAAAACCATCAGCCCTCCCACTGATTCCTCCTACGCTCTTCATCTCTGCGCCTCCTAATTTCTCCCTGCTCCTCTTTCTCTCTCTCTCTCTCTCTGACTATCTTGTCTTCTCTCTCTCTCTCTCCGTCTGCTCTGCCACTGAGTCTGCACAATCGTCTCTTACTTGCTGCCTCTCCCTCTCTTTTTGCAGGTGCTTGTGGCTTTCATCAGCTTTTCAGAAACTATGTTGCTCGTGTATCTCAGCTACAAGGTGAGCCACTTGTGGCCCTCAATGGCCACTCTGAAGCCTTTTGTGATGTTTGTGGCTGTGATGTTCAGGCAGGGAAAGCTGCAGATTTGGATGGACTAGATTAGGATTTTTTTTTTTTTGGCACTTTGTAATTCCCTTTTTGTCCCCTCATGCTTCCCTCTGCAGCATGAGTTGCCTTAAAGCTTATTGACACTGTTGTGTTATATACCAGTGCAGCTTTAAGGGAAGCCCCCCACCCACTATGTGAAGGCTGTTGGGAGGGGTCCATCCATGGGTTGCTCTGCTTTTGATGTACTTGGCACTGTAAGCCTATGAAGGGCTAACTCCCCAGATTCCTCTGGAGGATGGAGGCCTTAGCATTTAAAGCTGACTGATTCCTGTGGACTCAGCCAGTGACTGTCCACCTACACTAGTCAGATTCAGGTCAGCATGCAGGCAGGCAGCAGACACATAAAAACAGCAACGGTTGACATCTTAATTGAGCAGCGAGGTTTAGAGCAAACTGAGCAAGCTTGCTTTGACTCTTCAACCTACACTAGGGAGTTGTATAACCTGTATACTTCCTGATGTATTCTATAGCGCTGAAGCTTCCCCTCTAAGCAGTTATCCTTTTTCCTGACCTCTGTGTGTGGTGTCTGTTTCCAGGGCAACGTTTGGGAACAAGTCCTACGTGTCCCATTCATTTTGGAGATGATCAGCACCGTTCCCTTCATGATCACTGTGAGTGGAATATAGAAGCTTAAGAAGCACTAATAACACAGGAAACTGTAAGGAGAGCCATTTGTTTTGACCCTAAGCTGCTGAGGCGTTACATTCAGGGATGCCATCATTAACTCGTCATCATGTAATCTCTTGTCGCGGTAAGATCTCAAGAATTTACACTTTTTTTTTTCTTCAACAGGTGATTTTGCCCTCCTTGAGAAATCTTTTCATCCCAGTATTTCTCAATTGCTGGCTGGCCAAACATGCGTTGGAGAACATGATAGTAAGTGAAGCATCGAAGTGGTGCTTGTCTATTTGAACTGTCTTCTTCCAGTGACTATAAAACATAAGACCTCAGGAATCTGTAAAACAAGGATTTGTTGCTGAAATATGCATTTATAGCTTCTTTTTTTCTTTTTTTCCCAACCACAGATATGGTCAAAATTTGACATACAGTTGTAAATTTATATCCTTACTTTCTTATCTCATTCTCACTTTTCTTGTTGGCATTCATTTCCTGTTGGCTTCTCCCTCTCTCTCTCTAAAAACCCAAATTGATTTTCTTTCTTGCTGCCTATTCTAATGTTTGGATTTTTAATTTAAAAAATTCATTATTAATTTCCACCCACTCTATCACCTTCTGCTATCTGGGTCTTTATTTTTGCAATATTTATTCCTGCAGAATGACCTCCACAGGGCGATCCAGCGGACACACTCAGCCATGTTCAACCAAGTTGTCATACTTATCAGCACACTAGTCTGTCTTATGTTTACATGGTAAGTACTGCAACTAAACAAGGAGGGAGTGGCAGCAGGTGAAGAAAAAGCATGATCTTAAATGGGGTTGGAAGAAGAGGTCTCGTGTTGAAGATAACAAAAGGATGGGATGAAGCAGAAATAGGGTGAGAAAGACAACTTGTAGAGGGATTGAAAATTGCAGTTACTAAAGCTGAGAGAGGAAGGCAGAAAGAAGGGAGGTAATTGGTTACTGTCAGAGAGAGATGGTGCTCTTAAATGACAGCAAGTGATTGCTTCAGCAAAGTGCAGGAAGAGTCAGCTTACATCACACAGAGGGCAAAATGCAAGAGCAAATCAAGGAGATCCGTTACGCACAGCTTGAGTTAAGCTGTGGCCACTTCAAGTTTGACATTTTCCCGCCGACTCATATCGGCTGAAGATTATGATAACAGTGGCAGAATATCTTTATGTAGAAATCCCCAACAAAGGCGTTCAGGCATCCAGCCACCCCCGTCTTTGCACATAAAAAGTCACAGATATTTGCACAGGTGTGAAAAACATTTCCACATGAATAATGGCTCCCATGAGTGCCTCTTCCTCTCACAGCCTGTGAAGTGCCTTTGATGCTCACTTTGCTTTTCTTTCCGTCTCTTTTTTTTTCTATACCTCGAACCTCCATCAGCATCTGCGGCATCCAGCACCTGGAGCGCGCTGGAAACAACTTGACCCTGTTTGACTCCCTCTACTTCTGCGTGGTCACTTTCTCCACTGTGGGGTTCGGAGATGTCACCCCACAGATATGGCCTTCACAGCTTCTGGTGGTCATCATGATCTTTGTGGCACTTATTGTGCTTCCCATACAGGTAACAAAACCGTGATCATATTTACAAGGCTTTGCAAATGAATTTGTTTTTTTGTGTTTTTGTCACGTTAAAAGCATTACTTATTTTATTGGGAGTTTATATCAGAGAAGCATCTGACAGGTTCATATTAACTCTGGAGGAACTGCAGAGATCCACAGCTCAATTAGGAGAATCTTTTAGAGAATGTTTTATGAAGAAGTGTCAAGTAAAATGAAAGACAGCCATAAGAAATTCAGTTAAAAATTGAAACGAAAAAAACAAAGAAAATATTTCTGGAAAATTGCTCTGTTCATATAAAAAAGCATTTAACTTTTTGGCCGACATGTAAAAGCCTTTTTTTTTTTTTTAAGAGAAACATATTATTATGAAAACACCATCTCCACTATGAAATATGGTGATGGAGGTATCATGTTGGGACCTAAATAGATGATGGTCTAGATATAACGTCTGCCAAAGTATGCAAAATACTGAAGAAAGGGGCACTCAGGACCTGTGTCCGAATGGTCTAGTCAAAGTTCATATACACCTCCAGTTAAAAACCATGTCAGTAATCTTTTAAGTTTGATTTTAATTTTGATGCTATTTGAAACTTTGCTGCCGTCCATACCAAAGCTCTAAATGTATTGAGTTTCTTATATGGGATGTCTGTGCAGTTCACTCTATAATTATCCTGTCTAACATTTTAATTTTAAACAAATCTAGACTAAGTCAGTATTTCTTATGTTCTCTATCCAAACACAGTGAGCAAAAGAAGAAAATGTGCCTTTTTTTTTTGGGGGGGGGGGGGATTTTTTGTTATTTTGCATTATTTTTAGCAACCACTTAATTTTACTTTTGCACTTACTTACAATGCACAACCTGTAAATTTTTACGTTGACTTAAATAAAGGGGTTCAATCCGTACTTACTTTGACCTAAACCTTTGTTTACACAGGTATTTATACTTTTACTTAGTAAAGAAAACAAGCACTACACCATCCAAGCTGACTTCTAGGAGTTATTCTGTATTTTCTTTTTCTTCTTCTTCCTTTCTCTCTCCTTTAATTTCTATTTTTTCCATCTCTGTGTCCATTGCATATCTTTAGTCATGATTTTCTCAAATACCTCGCCCCTAAAAAAGTTTCAGAACAGTTATCAGGGGGACGGTTATGGCAACAGCCATGACAGTCCACTTGTGACATCAAATCTGTTTGGCTATTATCCAGCACCAGGGCATCAAATCTCATTGCTTTATAAGGAAACAGATCATGTATGAAACATAAGAAATAAAAAAGCACAATGAGAATACTTTTCACACCTCTGCTGAACACAAATATATACCTAATTTTCCTTTTTGGTTATCGTATAGAGTTTCAAAACAAAAAACAAATATTTTGCTTGTGATTTTATTACGTTTATCCAAGCTCAGGAGGTTTGAATAGTCCTTCAAGGTATTTCATTAAATGAGAACAGATAAGAGAATACAGGTATTATTCAAGTCATGATGAAAACAAGCTTTTATTTGATGAGCTGAAGAATCCCTGAGGCGAAAATCTGTTTTATTCCCATGTGTTATATTGAACCATAAGACATGGTTTCAAACAAGATTCCTATTTTTTTTCTTTGCTAAACTAAGATAATTTATATTTATCATAAAAACAAGAAATATAATTGAATTACCACTCAATTTATCACTCTTAAAAGATAACATGTTTTGTTTCAACATGCAGAAGAACATTAAAGTTTCTCCCTTTTTCTCAAATAATGTATCTTCCCCTTTATACAATAATTAGATGACTCATGGCGTCCTACGAAGATTTACGACACTATTTTTATTCAGAGAGCAACAAGAGAGTCTTCCACACTCATTCAATTTCCTAAATCTCTTCCCCGTCTCTGAGCCTCATAAAAGGAGAGATTTATGATAGAGACTTAGAAAAGCTGTTTACACACATGCAGGGGCCGATAAAACACCTCCACAAGAGCATCGGTTTCACTGTCTCCCCGGTGGTCTTTCCTCAGGTTGGTGTAAAACAGGAATTGGTTGCCATACCTGTGTTCCTCCCAGAACATGCGAGGGTGCTAATGGGATTCATTTCCTCTTTGCAGCTGGTTTCATGTGTGTGATCCTGCACTTAGAGCATCTATCTCTGGATGGAGATACTCCATAGACACACAGCTAATAAGCGAATGATGAGAAATGGCAGTCATACACTCAGCTGCTTTCTTTCTCTCCTTATTTGTATATTTTCATTACCTAAAACTCATTTTAACACCTACTGGACTCAGTTTTCATCCAACTCAAAATGCATTACTCCTCAGAAATTTGCACTCTTAACATTCCCATAAGGATTCTTAAATTCATGTTTTAATATGGGTTATTTAAATCACACAGTGTTTGCAAATAAAGTCAGTTTAATTTAAAAAATACAGCACTGTTATTAAAATCTGTATTTACTGTAAATAAATTTAAAGAGCCATTATCATTGCATGTATGAGCGATGCAAACAGCATTTTTTAAACAGAGCATGCACGTTGAGAAATGGGCTCCTGCATGCTCTCACAGGTAATAGGTGTTCCCTCTCGGCAGCGGGTACAGGGTTGTGCATGTACATTTTTTTTAAGTAGAGAGGAAGGGTCTTTCCAGAAATCCTCCTCTCTGCCTTTAAGTTGTCATATTTTAGGAATTAAAATATACGGATATCGGACATTCTGTATATTTTTGCTAATAAAATAAATGCAATTAAACAGAAACAAACCTTATAACTTCATAATCAAGATAAAACTTGCAAACTAAAATCCAAAATACCATGACAGTATCAAGACTACAGTTGCACAATTGACCTGCCATCTTCTTTGCAGTATTAATTCGCTTAATCCCAACATTTAGTTTTTTGGACACAATATTTGGTTAGATATAACATTTCACCTGCCATGGAATCGCTCTCTACAAATGGATGAAATATTTGTCTGGATGACAGAACTCCATACAATCTTGGAAATGTTTGATCTTTTTTATTAGATGCTCCATATATAATATACCTTTGGTTTTAAAGTCATTATGCATGTTATAGAATGCATAATTCTATAACGATCAGTTTTAGAACACATTAGAACAGCGGGACTGTGTTGAAAAATTAGAAATAGTATATTGAGACTGAATCCCTTGCTAACATGATCAAACACTCCCTCTGTATTCCAGCTGTGGCCGGATGATTGCATATATCCTCACAAAGCCCTCATTAAAAACTTTACCTTAAGAACAGTTTGCTGAAGTTTCATGAATACATTAATAAGAAATGTTCCTTTAACCTTGATATATTGTGCTCTTCAATCCCTCTGCCCATCTTTCATCCATAAATACCCTGTGACATTTAGAAACTGGCCCCTGCTAGCCCCCAACCTGTCTGTTCATGGTGAGGGGGGGTATATATGTGACTGAGTGTTTACCTCTGTATAACCCTGATCATTGTCTTGGCTACAAACTGCCATGGGTCACAGCTGATTTATATATATTCTTATAATTCTGCCTTCTGGGTTTTCTTACCAAAATCCAATCAATAAGTAGAGCCTGTTGTACTGTGGAGAGTTTTGGAATGTGCTTCAGAATACAGATAAGTAGAAAACTCC